AAAAATGGTCCCACCCGAATCGTTTTCAATGCGTTCCTCCTTGGTCCAGAACACATCAGCGAACCAAATTTCATCAAAATATCCCAAAAATTGCGACATTTAAGTTGAATGCAAGGCGGACAGACAGACGGACAAGCTTAGATCGAGTCAGAAAGCGATTCTTAATGGATCGGTATACTATAAGGCAGTTTTAATTCAAGTCCTTCCGGATGTTGCAGACTCATCCGCAATATACCCTTCTACGACAAGTCGTGCAGACTATGATAAATAAAAAAAAAAAAAAAATTAATAAAATACATACATCAATAAATAAATGAATAATGACTAGGACTGTATTTTGGGAAAAAACCATCACTAGCTAAACCGTTGAATAATAATTTTTTTGTTCTTTTAGGTTTTATTTATGGCGTTGGAGTGTCTATGGTGCGTGAAACTTCTACCATAATGTTGGGCAACTATTTTAAGAAACGTAGATTATTTGTAGAAATGGTGGCAATGTCCGGAGAAGGCGTGGGCATAGCTTTGTTCTCTGTATTATTGAGAGAGGGTGTTGGGTAAACTTATTTTATTATTGTTGTTTGCTGCAAAAAAGAAAAAAAAAATAAACAAATAAATAATCAAAATATTTTTGAAAATCTTTTTAGTAAAGTGGGCTGGCGTAGTGGTTTACAGATAATAGCTGCCCTATGTTCGATAAGTTTTTTTGTAGGTTTATTATATCGGCCGGCATCGTTATACCATCCTCAGCGTAGAGCGATACAACATTTGAAAAATCAACGTAAAAAGGTTTGCGAATTGGCTTTTCAGGCTTGCTCTGATCGCTTAAAAATTCGGTTTTCTTCTTTTTTGAATTTCAGATGCGTGATAACAAAACTTCTAGCGCACCATTGGAACCTAATATTTTTAAAAAAATTTTTCAAGACATATCAAATCTGAAGTCGGGTACTATAAAAATTTTATTATTAACTTCGGCCGTGGCAGCTTTGGGTATTTATACGCCAATGTTTACAATGGTGGGAATAAAGCAAGAGCTTAATACAAACAAAGATGATGGGAAATTTCAGGACAGCAACAAAGTTAACGATAGTTCCGAAGCTCAGGAACTTGTTTTAATGCAAACTATACTCGGTATGTCAACAACGTTGGGAGTAGTTTTGGCGGGAGCCTTAATTCGCAGACCTTTCGTGATAAGAAATTTCACTTTATCCACATCGATTGTGGCGCAGGTAAGTCCTCCAAAAACAAAAAAATTAATTTGGTGATTAAAATACTTTTTGTTTTAAATTTCAGTTTTTTATCGCTTCCGTGGCTTTATCCATACTATTCATGTCGTTTGTTATGGGTTACAGGAGCTTATGCATATTATCTGGGCTTTATGGAGTGGGTTTCGGTGGCTTCCGTTTTTCGTTTAAAATGTTGGCCTTGGAACGAATAAAAATGAAATTTTCTAAAACCTGGGGTTTCCTCCGAGGAATTGAAGCTGTTCCAGTACTAGTTAGCGTACCTTTAACTATATTTTTGAACGATTACTCTTTAAAATATGGACGAGCTGGTTATTATATATGCTCGGCTGCAGCTGCAATTGCCGCTATTATTATATTCTTTATAAATCACTCAAACTATGTGCAAAATGCTCCGAAACGTACCCAAGAGAATGGAATAATTCCGCAACGAATGCGTTCAATGTCCACTCAGCATGTAAGAACTAAATATCGTCCAGCCTTCACTGTCGATTATTCAAAAACAAACGGCTGTGATTATGTAATGCCCGACTTTCTAAATCGCAGTTGCGTTAGCCTAAATCAAGTTATGGAGGGAGGAGCGGGAGGTTCCTGTTTATATGGTACACCAATATTAAGAAATCAGTGCCATCATCATCTTATGCCGTTTCAGTATAATCAACAACTATACAATCCTGCCTGCCTATCAACGCACGCTGATGACGCGGCTAGTCATCGATATCCTTATCATTACGATACCGGAGCTGGGCAGTACCTACGGCGTAGTCTTTCCTTTATACAAAATGCGAACTGTTGTGGTTCTACACAATTACAATGTCATTGCCAGGCTAATCTTCAATGGTCACAAAGGGACTTAAGGTAAGCGCGAATTTAAAGAACGTGCATCATCATACGGGATCTAAGAATAATGGATGGGATAATATTAATTTTACCATTCCATTTATAATATGAGACGAAAATTCGGATGTTGTGTCTATGTATTTCGGTTATCCTATCTGATCAAGTGATTGGTGTGTTGAAGAACGACATTTCATTGCGCCTGGCTAATCTCATCCGAATGTTCAGGGTTTTTGTCATGGGTTTGAAATGCTCTTTTCTTCAAAAGTCTTTTCAAACGGTACTATGGTGGGTTAACTTACTTTTTTCAGTAACAGAGTTGCGGTTAAACCTCAATCGCTAACAGCCATATCTATATTAAACGCACTACGCTTGGGCAGCTCCCTTGAATTACGAATAGGAAGGGTGGTGTACAAGACATAGTTGAGCACGACAATCAGCCTTAATTACAGTTTAGTTACGTTCACCTACAACACAACATGTGTAGGCGTGTCGCACTTTGTCCCGATAGTAGATGGGCCATGTTTTTTATTTTCCACGAACTCGACGAAACAATATCGAAACGCGTTGGAGTCTTAAATAAATATTGTTTAATCTTAACACGCTTGCTTACCCTTCCCGAAACTGGAAAACCGCAAACAGTGTGAGTTAAAGTTTGATTCCGCTTAGCTGCAACCCGATGAGCTTATGCGGCGTTTTGTACCCGAAGCAGGGTGGATATTTAATTTATTTTCCTTAGCTCAAGATAGCTGACTGCTGAACGCGCCAATAGATAGAAAAAGAGCAAGATATAGCGCGTTGACAAAATCCCAAGTTTAAATCTAGCAGTAGGAAGAAAAGGTATATCTATTTATATATACAAAAATGACTGCTTCAATCTAGTATATTAGGGATGGTTTTAATCCTTACAATATTCCTAAAGAGTAAAGAAATTTGGCAGAGCATTTCGAAACTTGATCGATATGTCTTGAAATCAATGCGAACAGGCTCTGGGGAATTAGCCTTCGGAAATATGCCTCAACCAATCACAACTAACTTAAAGATTCTTTTTTCAGGCGAGTTCAGCTTATCGCAACTTTCATTTACGTGTAATATTTATAATTATAGCACTGGTTGCAAATGAAGTTTTTTCCTTTCAGAATGGATGCGACGACACAGCCTTTATTATGTACATGTAGTCCATCGCTTTATTTACAAAATTGCAAAAGTCAAAGTGTTCCTGAAGGTCTATCTACGATAGCTCAACAGTGTAAATGTCGAACTCAACCATCGCGCGAAATCGTTTACATACCACGAGCACCTTCTCAAAGCCGTTTTTGTCCTTGCTATCACTGCCATCAACATAGAACAAATACAAAAAGCAATTTCATGCGGAAGGATGCCATAACATCGGTTGCAACGAACAATGCACCCTCTACGATGCCTAGATGCAAACTAAAACGTTCGCAATCATTATCTAGACCTTTACAATTTGTTGAACAAATGACAACATCCGTTTAGGAACGAAAACACTATCCTTTCTCTCTCTCTTTTTAACTTACTTACTTATTACAAAATACAAAATAAAAACACACACACGCACACAGCATTTTTCTAGTCTGTTCCATAATATATTTCTATATAAGAAGATTTTATTGTATTTGTTTTTTTTTTTTTATATTTTTGGAAAAGCTCTTTCTAAGAATAATCTATCCATTGATAAAACAGCACCTACGAAACAAACAATTTTTTTTAGCAAATAACACCTTTTTATAAACTTTTACCCTTCCCCACCTTAAATAATAACCGAACACCCATCCAGAGATTAACAATCACTTTATCAAAAATAAAAAGCAAACCTCGAATTTTTACCTATCTTTACTGTAACGACCTTAACAAGAAAACAAATAATTTAATGAATCTATAAAAAGCGTACATAAGTTACCTACAAACATTTTTCATCAATAAGCAAACACCCCGCATTCATTCCCCTACATATATACAAGCACCTTCATACTTCGCTCTCATGAGCCCCTAAGCAAAATTAAACAAAAAAAAAAAAAAAAAAAAAAAATTAATAAATAAATTCACGAAATAAAAAAATAAGAAACACATGTTCGCCATCAGGCGAATTTTAGATAATATCCACCATTGGGAATCGCTTTCTATGAACTGAGTTCGAATTATGATATTTGGTCTTAGATAAATGGATGTCTACTAATAGTTGGATTTTTTTTAGGATTTCCAACTTGCGAATGCAAAGCTTTAAGGAGCTTCCGTATACATCCTTACATCCTTAGCGCAAAAAAAGAACTCATGTCAGGAAAATTGTCAAAAAAACACATTTTATTGAAAGTACGTATCTAGGTATCGTTAGCTATATGTATTTCCCTGCTTTTTGACAAGTTGTGGTTGTCTTGTGTGTCGTCTTGTAAAACTAAAGGTCACAATTGTCAATATATTGTTCAGACAGTTCGTGCTGTATCTTTGCAAAAAAGCAGTACTCTAGAGGATTCAAAGTAAAGGCAGATATAGGAACACATCCCCAACAAGTGCTTTAAATTTATCTTTAACTGGCTTTATTGCGCACACAAATGCTCGTTATTAGGCTTGCATACGATCGTTTCCATAAAAAAAAGGAAACCAAAAGAACGTATAATACTTTTATAGGCAGCATATCACAGCATAAAAGAGCATTCAAATCTATGCGGGCAGATCAGTGACATTATGTCTTTGAAAGATCAGTAAGTATTTAGTCAAGGCCTTTTCAAGTTTCTAAGCTATTTGTTAGGTCTTGCAAGACAGACAGTTGGGCGGACGTTTGCGAATAAATGAATTGAAAACCTCACTGATGACTATGTCCTCTCTATTGCATGTCTTTCGCTTTCATAACCGGAACGAGAATGGTGGATATAAAAATATGACAAAAACATAGAGTTTACAAGACAAAAAAACACATTTATCTGAAAAGACTAACTATTATTTATAATCTATTTAAATATGATCTATAAGCGGACTTTATGTATTTTACATATAAAATAGAGTAAATAGTATACTTACTTATTATATACACATGCATTCATATAATAAGATCTTTGTATTATTATTATATACAGTGCTTATGTACACATCAATATACTTATACATAAGTCCAGGTTTTTGATCCACCGATAACTGAAAAAGCAAAAAAAAAAAACAACAACAACAAAAAAGAAAAGAAAAGAAAAGAACATTAAAAACAATCAAAAGGAGAAGAATTTTAGACAAAAACAAGCAAACGATATTTTCGCTCAAGGGTGAACTTTGATTATCCGCCACCTAGATTAAATGTCCAACAATATATTGCATTGCAGTGTGACCGGTGTGAGAATAAAATGCTTCAAAGGTGTCAAGTTCATTTTTTCCTATTTCAATCAATCAAAACGGTTATCGAAGCTCATGAGGATGGAGAATCTACAAAAATGATGTCTTATAAAATAGGGCAAAGGCGATATGAATGAAAAACATGCTAGTTTGAACAGTCCTTTTTCAGCAAATCAGAGAAACAGTTTTCCTTCATCAGCTCATAATGATTCCTGTTAATATTCAGAAGCACTGCCAGACTGAGGCCTCGTTTAGATATTATCTTTAAGGAATGTATATAAAAGAAAAGATTCAGCTGATTTGATATAGAATTTACCTAATCAAGGCCAATCCCGAGGGCTTTAAAGAAGCAAAGTTACGCTTATAAAGGTCTAAAGTTTCAAAATAATCACTTGCGGGGACGGGACTGCCATACAAGAGACGAGGGAATTTATTAAAAGTTAGCATATTCGCATCGTCATGGAAGCTTGCCGACGGGAAAGGTAATGAATGAGTGAGTCAGAGGCATTTCGTTTGCCAGAGGCATATCAGCCAATCCTCGATGATCTATGTGCCGGTCTGAGATTGGACAGCATGACTTCATGGTGGCTGCTATTGCTCTAAAGATGGGCATGAAAGCACCAGATGCCTCCTGAAAATCCTTGATGAAGAGATGGCATTAAAGATTCCCGATTTGCTGCTCCAAAGGAGTGCTGATCTGAAGTAGTGATTCCAACGATAGATGGCGCTTTATTCCATCCCAAATAGCTGAGTAGATAAAAACCGCGACTACGAAATCAATGTTCACGGGTTCAATCGCCAAGTCCAATAAAGTTTACTTCAGCCGTAGCTATAGTGAGTGTTGAGTCGGTAACACTTATCGATTCGCCCCGCACTTCTTGAACTGAAGCCACAGATCACCTATCTCTTTCTCTTTCCACTCTTCTGTCTTTCTTTCTAATTGTGTCCTAAGAATAGGGGATATTTCCTAAGTGATTGGTCACATTGCGATAACATATCCTGGAATTCATTTTTACTACACATAGATAGGTGGTCACGGCTAGCATACTTACATCATCGTTTAGTACACAGATTAATTTATGCGTGGAGCTTCGAGGATTGAAGGTATTTGTCTTTCCCCTAAATTCCTTCGCCCCAATTACGCGGGGATTATTAGTATTTGAATGAGAGAAGTATGGATTGAATGCAATGAATTTCAATTCTTTGTCAAAAAGTCTTAATCTAAAGTTCGATAGTAATTGTGGGTAGGCAAGGATTACCAAGCTACTAAATAATAGGAGTTCTGGTGCCGGATAAAACGATAATTAAGATAAACTTTGTGCAACAATTTAAGCTGAATATTGTAAATTAATAATAACTTATAGAATTAGTTCGAAATTGAAAACGAAAAATAACTTTAAAGAAACAAAAAAGAAGTGACAAATGAAAGAGAAGAAAATCAATGTAAGGCCATTAGAAGAAAGCAAGGCGGAATGTAATGTTTCTCTCTGAACAGTGGCTTTAAAGATAAAATTTTCTTTTCTTTTATGTTTTTCGTTTTTATTTTTTCTTTCCATAATAGTTACTTAAAACATTGTTGTGTAATATTGAGCCTTAACTAAAAATTTTGCAAACAAACAACCAGATGAAAATCATTTAAGAAAACAACAAAGAAAAATCATATATCAACCATAACCATTTTATACATATTATATAATAACAACGCATAGATTATATGTATGTTCAAATTCGAATGTTCAATCCACAAATATATATACATATATGTATATGTATAGAAATTCATGTTTATATGCAAACATTGCATATAATCTCTAAAGGAATGAAATCATATCCAAAACTTGAATGTAGAAATGCAATTTAAATCAATCAATTTTGCCCTAATGTCTCCCTTTATATATAAAAAGCAAGAACATATAATAATAAAAATCTAGTTAAATATTAAAAAAAAAAAAATAAAAAAACAAAAAAAAAAACTTCTTTAAACGTAAAACGCTTTAAATAAATTTTTTATAGTAATTATTAGAAATTTTAATGTTGAATTTTAAATAAAAAACAAAAACTGAAAAAATTTAATTATTTCGAATAAAAAAATACGTGTTATTATTTAACAAATTTCGAGAATGAAAAGTAACAAACAATATTGTACTTGCTTTGTAGACAAACCTATGCATTTTATTTATTTAAATTTTAACTTTTTTCAAATCCCCTACAGAGGTATTTACCACCATAACACCAGCAATGGGCATAAAGCATATGCATCCTTCATCAGCTTAACATTCGAACGACGAAACATTAATCATCGCTTCGTTTGTCAGTCTGTCTTGCGTCTAGTATTAGAAGCTTTTCATAGACTTCCTCAGTTGATGGCAGCGGTGGTTGTAGCGGTTTGAAAATGGTTGTGCACATGCAGAGATTAACAACTAGGGATCGCAAGTATCAAAATAATAGACATTAATAGAAAAAACACGGATTAAATATTTTTTGAAAGAATTTTAATTGAAAGACTTGAATGCAAATATGGGCACGATTAGCCTGTGAACATTTCTAGAGAAGATGAGAAAACTTCAACCTGCGATTTTTAAGCTATATTATTACTGCACGTAAACTTTTATTCTCTTACTATCATTCTAGTGTAACAGAACAGAATAGCAGAATAACAGAACAATAAAATACCATAATAATATTATAATAGTAAGAATATAATATGTTGAGTCAAAGCCATATTAACAGCAGCGATTAATGACAGTTTATTCCCAGAAACAGAGGAATCCCCGATTGCTGTACAGGATCCAGTAATATGGATTAGATATGTTCGAAAAACAATAATAAAAAATCCTATTGTATAAAATGACAGGTATAGACATAGATGCCAAATCGCACCACCTATCCAACACACATAATACATCAGAAGGCACATACTTTGCAAATTCATTTAGTTTTTCTTAGAAAAATATAACATTAAAAGAGATAAGTGATATTAGAAGCATAATCGAGAAAATGTGATGGAATCTAATACCTCTATCATATGCTTGGATAAAACGGTCTTAAATAACAAGTTGACAGTCAACAACAGACCAAATATGCCAATTGTTGGCAAGAAAGAAAAAAAAGTGCATCCTCTTGATGTATCTGTACCAACTACTGAAAATATAATGAGAAAGATATATGAACATATACCTTGATGTTACGAATACGGCGACAATGGAGTAAAGCCAACAATATCGTCTATAAACATTAAACCAATCTATAGGGAAATGCAATGGGCCGTAGTACTATAGAACTGCATATATTTTCAAAAGGATGTGTGGATGAATTCAAATAAAGAAAGCTGCAACAAAATTTAAACGTCACATAAATGCTTTGAGTTATGTAATTCTGCATATAGAGATGGAAGACACTAAAACATAAGATAATAATAATAGTGATAACACCATCAGGTTGGTATTGAAAATGGATCAAATCGATCGAGAGGACTACGTAAAGTCAGAAGGATGCCTAGTTTGCAAAAGCCAAAAAATTGCTTTGCTTGTTCATTACTCTGCTTGCACATCCTATTTTAAATAAAAAGGTTCTGGATACAAGAGATTCGGTTACGATCGAATATAATTCAATTCGAAATCAATTTTATTGTGTCCAAATGAGCGAATATGCTCAAATCTATTGAGACTAAGCTATAGATTGCTATATTTATTCAATTCAATAATTTGTGTATTTTTCTTTGAGAGGCGTGGTACTCCTCCAACCGACCCAGCATCTATCCAGATGAACTATCTGGCCTAGCGACCGTAGATACTAATGGTGTTTCGGTTTAAATAGGTGCTTAATTCAGATCAGCTATTTAAAATCGTCTCTTTCACTAGAAAACTATCTGTGATCTCTTGGGATTTCATCTGTAAAAAAACTGATGCAATAAAAAATTCATTTACTTAAGGATTAGATGCTAAAACTCTTATATATCTACATTGTCCGCTGTCCGGTATTAATATGGGACTCTGAATAGTTCGCTTACCGCTTCTTTACTCGTTGTCCGTAAAGTTTTGATTATCCGGTACTCATTACGGATCACTTATTTACTATCAATCGTTTGTAAACGATACTCATGCACTCTCTCTCACACTCATTCATGTTTTTTAACTGTATATAACAATTAATGCGATTTCTTAAGCATTGGATTCTTAACCTTTGATACTTACGTACATTGTTCATTATCCGCAATGTGTTTGCCTTATCCGGTGTCTATCTAACATTCTAAACCGTTACCATCCCATTTATTTCATTTTTACTTACTATCCATGACACAATTTTGGTGATCCGTTACAAATTATTCGTTTGTAAACACTTTCCTTCACGGTTTTTATTCATGTGTAAAAAATTAATGTGATAAAAACTTGTGACCTTTTAAGTGTTATATTTTAGAACTTGATCCGCAATGCGTTTGCTTTATCCGGTCTCCGTCGAACACTCTGAATTGTTGGCCTATCATTTACTTCTTTTTTGCTTGTCATCCTTGAAACAATTTTCGTTAACCGTAATCCTTTAGGGATTATCCGTTATCAGTCTTTTATTATAAATGCTTTGTAAACGATACCCATACACTTTGCTTCATATTTGCTTCGTATTTTTTTTTATTTCACAGACTGCGTGTCTTCCACCTAAAGGTAGTTTCAACTTTAAATGTGGAGTCAATCGTTTTACAGATTTTCTAAATCTTCTATAAATGGATTTCAAAACACGAGCCAAAGTTCTGGCTTTTTCACCAAGAAAATTGTACTAACCTAGTAGCGTAACAAAAACTAAGATTTTTTCTGAGTGTATAGCCGGACTTTCTGACAATGAAATTTCCGTTTTTGTGAGTATAAACAAAAGCGATACACGAGAGAAACTTTTTGTTCGAAAAACATTTTACCGTTTCCGCCCGCCTAGAATAACGTACGCAATAATAAATCAAATTTGGAAGAAAATGCCCAAAAGCAAACAACAATTTGACAACTTTAGAAGACGCAGAAATTATTACTCAAGCATGCGCGTCAAAAGTCAGATAAATTTGCACACAAATTAAAAATAGGCAAACAAACTATTTATGCTTAAGAAAAGATAGCTAATAGAATAAAAATTAAAGAAAAAAAAAAAAATATATACATATATGTATATGTATACAAGTAGTTACGAAAACTTTTGTAAACTCAGTGACGAAGAAGAGAAGTTGAAAACATTTGCTGTTACAGCTTGCTATCGCAAGAATGAGAGAGAAGGAGAGAGAGGAATTGGGAAAGAGGAAGGGAAAGAGGAAGGGAAAGGGAAAGGGAAAGAGAGTAATCGGTAAACAAAAATCCTATCTCGACATTGTAGGAAGCTAGGTCTGTAGGTTTATAATGGATAAAAAAAAAAAAGAAAAAGTGTAAACAAAACGCACAAGCACATCAACGTACATCACATCAGATATTGTAATGCTCTAGTTTAGCGCTTTTCTTTTACGTCATTGTATGCGTAAAAAGAGCTTAAAATATTGTTGCTATTGCTGTTGCCGTTGCTGTTGCTGTTGTTATTATTTTATGTTCACACATAAATACACACACACACACACACACACACACACACACACACACACAAGCACACAAAGAAAAAAAACCAGCGAGCCAGCGTGCCATACACACGTACAGGATTTTAGAGATATGAATGAAAGATCTGAGAGCACACGACTTTGGTTACCGTTGTATACACATTCGTTCGTTCGTTGTGTTGGTTTTATTGCGTGTGCGACAAAACAAAAAAAGGATTTTTCTTTTCAGTTTCAGCATCATTGTTATCTAGTTCACATCTTAGAAGTGTTTCATTTCCTATTCGGATTCACATATACAGCATACAGGCATACACAAGCACACACAACATCTATTTGTATATGTATTTATACTACACAGAATTAATATATTCTCTACACATATTGATTTAAATGGAAAAATTTTCCTTCGCCAACCCATAATGCTTTAAAATAATGAAAAATTAATGGAAAAAAAAAAAATGTAAATAAATGAAACTTTGTTACTTAACGTTTGTGTAAAAAAGAAGCCAGTGTAACATTTGTGTAACAAGAAAAAAAAAAAACAAAGGAAAGAAAGAAAAAATCATATTAAAAATATGAAAAAATTTCGGAGTTTTTGGTTGTGTGCTTGCATAAGTTGAAAAAAATATTTTCACATATGTTTACCTAAATATACATATGCATAACCTGCAATGTATCTTATTAATCACATAACACGCATAAATATTCAAAGTGATTAATCGAATAAACAGAAAAATCAAAGATGAAACAAATGAAAATTTTACAAATCTCTCTTTAATATCATTATACTTAAGTACGGGTATTAAATATTGCCTCTCTCTAAAATATTTTAGAAAAGTTTCAAAAAAAAATAAAAAATTATTATATCAGAAAAAAATATATGCATATTAAAAAAATAAAAAAAAAAACAATAAATTAATTATGAATTTAAATTAATATTAGTTGAAATATATTCAAAGTTAACTAACATTTAACAGAGGTATTGCGATGCATTTTTGCTCTGGATAAAAAGGATATCAGAAAGAGAAACTTAAAAAATCTTTTCTTTTTTGTTTTTGCTTTATGAAAAGAAAATCCGAAACCACCTAACGAGTCCTAACCTAAGTGATCCTTTAGCAATGAATCGGCTGCGATATCCTTGTCAATGATGGACGACAAAAGCAGAGGAAAAGCTCTTCGCCTGCTGCTAATATTCGTTAAAACAATCAGTCAAGCGGTGCTAACTAATAAACGAGCCAACATTAAACATTGCTCCGTGTGCCTGTAATTGCATTTTATTCTGGATATATGTATAAGGCACAAGCACATACATAAAACACGCTCATACACACAAATATATATATATCTATATATGTACACTCAACAATAGATACATGTATTTGTGTAATTACTTTATGCAAATACCTTACATTGAACCAAAGAAAAGTGCATCGCGTAAGAAAACTAAGAAATCCTTCTGTAATTTAATTGATAAAAAGAAAAAGAAGAAGAATATAATCAATTTACAAGAAAACTTTTCCTTTTTGTACGCAATCATTCAAGTCACACACCTATCTATACGCCTACTTACCTACTGACTTTTCTACGTAATTGATTGCAAATAAAGGAAGAATAAAAAGAAAAAAAGGAATAAAAGAAGGAAAAGAGAAACAACAACCAAAATAATCAACGAAACAACAGTCACCCAACAAATCAACCATTCAGCCAACTACTAGTTTACCATACAAGCTAGATAACGCGACTAAAAGGACGAACAAACACAGTATTGCATAAAACACAAATTTACTTAGACAGTAAAAGCAGCAGCAGCAGTAGCAGCAGCGACAGACCTATCATTCACTTGCAAGGCTGCTAAGATGAGTGTAGCTATGCGTATAAACAATGGTGAGTGAGTATGTTAGGCGAATGTATGTAAGATTGTGAGCACACACTTGTTGTTGTATGATTATTACTGCTGCTGTTCTTTTGAGATATCAATAATGATAAGTGCAAGCCGTATACGTTTGTGTAAAAACTTATTTATACATTTTTACATGTACATGCGTATGTGCGCGGTTGCATTCATACTAACGCACACGCGAAATATAATATAAAAAAATAATAATATGTTCATCATTCATGCACTCTTATCTGCCGCAGGCTCTTTTCGCCCCAACTACTTATTCTGACCTGTAAACTACCTAAAGGAAAAATTTATGCCAATTGTAACGTTTTTTTTTTTTTTTTTAAATAAAATTTCCTTTAATGTATTCTGTATGTGCTTTAGGTTAACAACTTTTAAGCATTAAGGTGAAAGAAGGCAGGAAGTTTGCTTGGTTGACGCAAATTAGGATGTACATGATGTTACACAAGTCTGCAAAAATGCATGGTAATGCCTGTTGGATTTTTTATTCCTCTCCTTTCTGTTTATCTCGTTCGCTTTGCCTTCAAAGCAAAGTTGATCTTTCTACCTACAGTTAAGCTCGGCATGAATTTGTTTGGTGCGCAACACCCCATCTGAAGCTATGTGAAAACAGTCCATTAAATAATACGTGCAATGGAAGGTATAGCTCGGTTCGCATTTAGCCTTTTTGGTTTACCTCGGCGTTCATCAGATTCGTTTAGTGCATGCTAGTCGGCTCTCTGCTTCTTCATTCAATAGTAAAATTAATTTAAGAGTGTTTCCTGGTCAATTAAAATTTGGAAAGGTTCGCAATCTGCAGTGTTGCTTTAACGAGTTGTTTGATTGTTTAATAATTGTTAATCTGGTTCTTAGATACTCTCCGATTTCAAAACCTTAACCCATTGCTTTAAACTTCGCTTAAAATAGAACTTAAGTTATATCATATAATTTTTACGGTAAAGCGGCCCTTAATAGACTTTAGTTGGAGAATGCTTGGAGTAAACTAGGCTTACCGCTATTATTAACAGATTTTACTTCGCTAAGTTTTTCAGTTATAAGTTTACTTCCAGTGTTATACAATTTTTGTAACTTAATGGCCTTTAGCAGACATTACGTACGAGTAAAAAGATTAAGTTAACATTAACTGTCAGTTTTTATTTCACTCTTAATTCTATTTGATCGGTGAAGAAAGTTAAAATTTAGTATCCGTTCTACATATATCTTCATAACTTCATATAGCTACTTAAGGTATTTCGGTAACTGGCGGGTTTAAATTGAGTAATTGAATTCAATAACATGAGGTTAAAGTAAACTTAAAATAGTTATGTACTTTTTTTTTTAATCTCATCAAAATTAGGTTCCGTCCTTCAGAAACAACAACACGGCACTTGAAGCCATTTGTGAAAACGTCTCTAAAGCACAGTTTTTGTCAAAGGAACTTTGCCTGTGCAAAGGGGAAAGGTTTTCTTTTTTCGTCCACAGGAAAGGTTTTATTTAAAAAATTCACATTCATTTTTTAGTGATAGATAAAGTATGGCTCCTGCTACAGATATGGAGCACTAATATGGCTCACCTAACTCTTTCAGCTGAGCTGTGCTTCGAAACAACTTGTAATATTTTTTTTTCTTCACTCCTTACAGGCTTACATCACGCTGTGTCATTAGGTACTATTGATTCATCCATGAAGGTATATTTACATATTTGTGGAGTATCATGAGTACTTTCTAGGTAATGCTACCCTTTTACAGCCTTCTTGTTCCACGCAAGTTGATCGTAATTATGATTCGGAAGATGAAAATACTGGTAGGCGTAAACTTCGCCATACCTCGTCAACTGAATTATATTCAAGACCGTCGCAATATTCCAAAGGAGATATACGTGAACAGGTGATATATATTTGATGTCCAGAAATATACCCAAAAAATTTGTTTTCATGAAATTTTCGCAGTATTGCCTAACGGATCGCCAACTGAATACAATTGAACGTTCCCGTCGTGATCGCTTCTTTGGTTGCCTGTCGCGGCGAACAGCGCCACAATCTCTATTGGGTGGTTGCGTGGGCCGACGAGTGCCATCCGATGATAATTTGGCAGCTTATGCTCCGTTCTACAAATATCCACGTTATCCAAATCAATATCCTCATGAAATTAATGAAACTGTAAATAAAATGGATTTGGATAGTTCCTATTTTCGACGTCAACCAGCTTCCATATTGAGTACTTCGAAGATGGTGGACACATCAAGCACGGAAAATCGCCGTTCTTGGATCGAAACATCACAACAACAGTCTTACTATCATAACAATAATAATAGTAATAGTAATAATAATAACAACGAGAATTTGACCTATTTCAACGAAGAAAGGTTAATATGAACATTTACTTTAAGAATTAATTAGCTTAATTAGATAAGTGTAATTTTATTTTAGCTCTTATCACTGCCCGTCTAATGTGGGAGCTCCGGGACCACCGACACCGAGGTTTTTTCATTTCTCTTATTAATAAATAATATTTTAACCTATAACATCTCTGTGTTTTTTATAGAACTAAACATGTTAGCTTTGCTCGCTCTCATACATTGACATCATTTGACGACTTCAATGTTGGATTTCGTTCATCGGGTCGTATAAAGACTGCCCAAAGTCAAGAACGTTTAATAGGTGGGAAAAAGCCTATGGGCTCTGTAGGTCCCTACTACGATACTTTGCCTACGTATGTGGGGCAATTACCTGTTATGGGCCCGAATTCTACCATACATATGATAACACAGGCTCCTCCTCTGTTACAACATGGTCACTCACATCACGGACATGCACATCACGGGCATTTAAGCCATATGCATCCATATGCAACCTCGTTTACAACCGATCAACATGTACAAACTCAGCAGCCTACAGCCGCTTTATTGACACCACGGCCTTTGATAGAGGATATAACAACTTTAAGTGTCATGCAGGCTCCACTTATCACTTGTAATGCACAAAACATACCGCCACAGAGCCCCGAAATTATAGTAGTAGAAAAAAAATTCCGTAACGCTATGAAAACTCAAGCTACTCAAACGGATATACGCAAACATGAATTTGAGCAAAGTTTGGCATTGAGTCCTCGTACTACACACCGGGTTAAGGTAGTTTCCCAGGGAGCCCAAACTAATGGCTTCCAAAATGGTAAGCCATTAGCCAAAAGTTTGTCGCAAATACCGAATGTAAGCACCAAGGTAGTAGAAAATAGTGTTCAGCCTCTACCACACGAGGTTATTTACCGTACTCAATCAGAGGAACCGCCACGTTCCCCGTTGGAAATCAATTTCTCCTATTATCAGCCACCCCCTCCGCCCGAATATCAAAATCAAAAAAAAGAACAATCGTTTCTACAAAAAGACGATTCTTTCTCATATGAAAGCAATAGCCTGCCACGTCGTACTTGTGGTTATCGTTTGGATACCGATTTCCATAGCTTACCTAGAAGAGATTTGCAAAATCTGCAGGACATATGTAAGCATATAACGGAATGCGCTGAACTTATGGGTGACGTTTCGTCGGATTACACTTCTGATCTTTTGCCACCGCCTCAAGAATATTGCCACGATGACGACGATTCTCTAGACAACGCTCAAACTTATCCAAAGGAAACGAAAGATTTTCAACGTCGAAAATTTTCCGCAATGTCTGCCGAATCGAAGAATGATACCCCTTTTCGAAGAGATGATGTACGCAGACAATCAATGCCGATTTACGTTAAAACAGAGAAATTACTGGATCTGGACTATTCAATTAATGGATCGCGAAAATTTTTTCGAAAATCTTTCCGTGATGATATGTCCGACGAAAAAGAGATTATTATTGATTTTAAACCGTATAGTTCGCAAAAACTACCTAACTACAAGACCCTCAAGCAGCAAACTCAACGTAATAAACTTGAAGCAGAGCCAACTCCTGAAACATTAGTAAAGGACTCCGTAGAGGAATTGTCGGTAGAAGGCAGTGATCAAAGTGATGATCAGGCTTATGATCCCGTTTATGAAAATATACAAAGCTGTAATTATAAAATACCGGCGGTACAAGAAGCTGCTTGCAGTGACCAGGAAGAAAAGGCTGGAGAGGAGAAAGCTCCAACGGCCATATCAGCACCCGCAAGCCCTTTAAAAGAAGAGCCTATAGGTCGTGCCTCTACCTATCCTTCCTCGGATTCTTTAGCCAATGATAATACAAGAGACCACTCGGATGGCCATTGGAATGAATCTGAAGTTACGGTATTGACGGCAGAGCAACGATCGGAGGCTTCTTTTAACTCTAATCTATTATTGACACCCTCCACTAGGCGTAAAAATCTTTTATTGCAGCATCAACAACGAAGTTCAGTGGATACAGAAGCTTTGGATCTAGAAGAACAGTTTACGGATCAGGTATAAGTTGAAGCAGTGTAAGGCTATTAGAAAACGTTTATTGTCCATCTTGTAGAGTCCTACAATTAGTCAAACGTCATCGACTATAAAAGCAAAATCTCCGGATGTAAAAGATTCGTATTTAGGTTTCCAAGGAAACGTGCCTAGGATAGTATCGCCTTCCATAGAGGTGGAATTATCTATTGACACAAAACTACCACCCTTGGCTTCTCCGAGACTATATCGGAAAAACGCTACAGCTTCTCCTATACAACAAACCGAACAACGCCGGTAGGTCTTTACTCTCACGAGCGATCTTAAATTTTATTAAAGTACAATTTTCTTAGATCATCGGAAATATCTTTGAGTTACTTAAATATGCTAGCGGATAATCACAGAAAGCAAAGTGCCGGGAATGCTGATGTCTCAGAATGTAGTACTAATACAAATACAGACGATTACGGTACTTGCACCGATACCTCGAGGCGTACGGCAGGTATGAGGACCACTTTTACTACAACCACTACTACAACAAGCTCATCATCAACTACACAAGTACCAGGTTTGAAAATGACTCTAACTCTCCACTTATACACGTACTCGGTGTCTATAAATTTTAAATGTTTAGATGTCATATATATATATAGTAATGAATAAATATACACAGCACGGCATTAGATTTGCAGACGAAAAGTCAATTATCGGGAATAATGTTACTTATAAAGTCAATCCTTTTTACTTAAATTTGAGATAAAAAGGAATTAAGATTTCAAGTTTCTATTCACAAATTGACTTTTAAATTAGAAAAACTCGTGAATGCCTTAGTTGCGAAGATCATCTTAGATGGTCAATTTAATGTTATTGCTTGATGGATGTATGATGATGCTTTGTGTATAATTGCTTTATTTGGAATGGTTTAGCGAACGGTACATCTATAAGTCTCGGTTATTAATCACTTCACTAATTTCTTTTCTTTTCTCTCGTTGAAGTTTCCACTCAGAGCTCACAAATGGATAAAACCCACGGCGAATCATCTTTTGAAAGCGCTTCTTCTTTGTATTCCTTAAAAGGAGAAGCACTCCAAGAAGATGATTTATCCTTGGAAGTCAAGTCTAAAGCTGATTTAAACCTTAATTTAACACCCTATCCAGCGGACGTTGCAAAAAAGTCACCCTCACATTCAATCAGCAGTACATCCTCAGGTAGTTATAATGTTGGCGAAAGACGGACATCAGAATTGGAGAAATCTTCACCGGCCACCTCGCAACAAAGAGAAGCATTACTCATTCAAAAAGAGTCCATATCCGAAGATGAGCGTAGTGAATTGCGTTATTCCTCTTCCGGTTACTATGAAAGTCCTCATGACGACGAATTTCAAAAGAAGAAAGCCCGGCGTTGTCGGCGCGAAGATGAAGAACGTAAGCGACAACGAAAATCATCAATCAAATTGGATATAGAAAAAGAGAATTTGAGAGCTTTAACTAGTCCTATTAAAAAGTCACCAGACAGTCAAAGAAGTTCTCATTTGGTCGAGTCGATTAGTCCAGTTAAACTCAAACGTTTCCGTCCTAAAATTCGACGACAACTACGGCGATCTTCTAAAGATGATACTTTACCTAGGCAACGTAAGATGGCTAACACTTTATCGCCCAGTCAGAGTCAAGCAGAAAAGCTATTGGATGTAGGTTTAGTGACGTCACCCACTAAGGATCCAGAAATCAAGCCATCCTCGAACGGTCAAAGAGAAACTTCGCCTAAATTGATTAATTCACTGACTCCGACATATTTAAAGTCTTCATCGGATACGTGTCAATTAAAAGCGAAATCTATAGAATCTTTAAATCGTTCGGTATCACCTGGCTCTGATTCGGTATTTTATAGCGAAGCAGATGCTAATAATGCAGAGGCGAACAGCGGACATTGTTCGCATTGTGGCAAAGAAGTTGAGGAGCCGAGCGTAGTATGCGGTTCAGTGGAGTCGTTACCATATATAGACAACGAACCTGACATTGTGAAACCACCGTCCGATTTCGCTGATTCGCCAGTAATTAGTAAAACAACACAGCGCTTATATAAAAAAATGGATAAACGTTTTCGTTCCGAAGAACGTTATCAGGGAGAGAGAGGACGACATTATAAAAGTCGTAAAGAGAATATAAGGGCAAAAGTAAGTCTTAAGAAAAATTAAAATTACACTATAAATTAATAAATTTTCTTATTTATTAAATAAAAAATATAGAGTGAAGAACGCAACCAAGAATTAAACAAAAAAAGTACAGCAAATATAAGGTTAGTTGGTTCTAGTCCCTGCATATTGCCCGAGCCTAATGGTGAAAATAAACAACAAACCATTTACATCGGACACTACGATTGTTCACGTTACGCCCGATTAACCGACTCCGATATTTGGGCTCAATTAGACCATCAAAGTTTAGGTAAGCTTATTCTGTATGTGAAAAGGTCGTTCACGGTTTGTCTAAAAAAATGGCATTATTTTGCCTCTCAATTCCATCAGTGCCTTATCAATATGTGAAACTATCGTCCTCAAGTATTACGTACCCGACGATGTGAACGGGGCTTGACGTGAGTAGCTGCTTTTTGGCTCGGCTACGACTGTCGAATTGTCGGCATTTTACAATCTAGCTGCTCAGCTAGTATACATTTCTTCCTTAGTAGCATGCCTTTGAGAAAAAAATTGCGCTTTTATAAAGAAAACAAAGCTTCTTCTAGCGCATTTCCTGACCAATTTATGGGAAAAGTCTATTGCTAGATTATAGATAGCCAAGCCCTAAAGTCTTCTTAGTGAATGGGACCAGCGTCCAGGGCGAGTGTTTCGGAGCGTCTATACCTCGCCCCGAAGCATAGTTTATCCCGTAATAGAATAGCATATCCATTGGAGTGTCTGCCAAATGGTTCTTGGGAGGTTCGAATAAATCGATTCCTGTGTCAAAAAATGCCATAGGCCGAAACTGTTATGTTTCTTAATTAGAACGGGAGTGCTGCTAAATCGTGAAGGTTAATGAATAAGGATATAACATCTGAAGAGCGAGAAGCCATAGTGCGGATCAGGGGAAATATTTATGTCGACAGTAAACCCATCCCTGCTTTCGAGAACTAGCTGATGGGAACGTGTTGTGAAGTGCTTCAACCAACTTAATAGCACATGGCCAAATATAACTTACGGTATTGTGTCGATTATTGAAAAGAAAGCGTCCACAAAGATGACAAAAGCTATTCGTTTTTCTCACATAATAACACTTGACCTCATATTGCAAAGTCCGTGCCCAAAATGGTTGACCATTGTTTCGATGGAGGTCTTACGGCTTCCCTTTTACTTTTATTTATAACCTCAGAAGATCAATCATCCATACGGTACGAAATTTATATTCTCTAAGAATGGAGAAGGGCTAGCGATGGATAATACTTTGAACAAAATAATTTTTATCCTTTTTGGAATAATTTTTTTTTTTTTTTTTGTATAAGAAAACCTTTGATGACTTATTCTTACGTCTAATAGCAAGAAAAAATATTGCACAAGATTAAATAATGAACTTCCAGAACGTCAACGTGATCGTCGTTTGTCAACCGAATCGGAAAGAAGTTTCTACACCAAATATCAAGTGATTCTCCACCGTCTGGTGCAAAGACGCTGCACACTGGAAATGTATCATCGGCAAAAGAACGACATATTTCGTAAGTAATCTGATATTTTTACGTTCAACGCATAAACAAATCAAATGCTTAGATACATGTTTTCTGTTGCCCATAAGCGTTCAGCTAAATTCGTAACACTTTGCAAGCGAAACACTAAGAGAATATACGTTTGGTTGCTTGAAAAAAGATGCAATGCCGTGTTGTTGTCGTTTTTAGTTTTTTGAGCATTTTATCAGAAAGTTTTTTTAGAACATTTATAGCACGCCAGCGTAGCAAACCAGAGTATAGGGTCGAACATTTAGTTCTTAAAATAAATTGATTGAGTTCAAATGCGTGCTACTCGAAGAAAGAGACAAAGTGTTGAATCAGTTCAATAAAATGTTAGGTGCGTAATGAAAATTAGGTTAAGTATTGACATACAAAAGTACAAAATGATAAAATTTTAGCTGAATAAACTTGACGTACGCATTTTTTTGTTTAGAGTTGATTACATCGAATTCAAGGCAAACTTCCTTAAGGCGTAAATTGGAAGAGTTGTTGAAATTAATGTTACTGGTGTGGGCCAGAGAGAGTCAGGTTGTCGCCCTCCTAACTAAAGGAAAATCTGGTATCTGAATATATATGCCGGCGAAAAACGATTCCGTCGTTTCGATAAAAGCTAATAAAGATTTACGTATTATTTATAATTACTTTTAGGAGCCGATAAAACTGTTGTCGTTAAGAGCGATTCGGGCGAATTTGGATTTCGTATACACGGATCTAAGCCGGTAGTAGTGGCGGCCATAGAACCTGAAACGCCAGCTGAGAGTTCCGGCCTGGAAGTAGGCGACATTATTATATCCGTGAACGGTGTTCAAGTACTGGATAAGCATCACACTGAGGTTGTCAAGATAGCTCATGATGGATGCGAGAAATTGGAATTAGAAGTGGCGCGCACCTTGGGTGTTCTGATGAATGAACAACAGGAACCACCGGTACAAATTATTTATAGCGGATATTTATGGCGACAAAGTGGCCAAGCCAAGGGGGCACCCGATACTAGAAAATGGGTACAAAGATGGTTTGTATTACGTTCAGATAATTGCCTATACTACTACAAGACTGAGGAGGTAATAAATCGTAAAATTGATTGAGATTGCGCTAAATTCGCTCCAAAAATTGAAGATTTTTTTATTCGTTAGGATTCTCAACCAGTGGGTGCCATGATTATGGCTAAGCATACTGTGGAAACATGTCCTCCAAAAATTGGTAAACCTTATGCATTTAAAGTGGATTCGGGCGAAGGTATCCCTATTTACGTGGCAGCCGATAACGAGGACTTGGCCAATCTTTGGATGAATGTATTAAAAAAGGCAGCAGGCCAAGAAAATTCATGGTTGGATAAAAGGTTTACTTTCATAATGCAAAACTGCAATTTTCTAATAATATGAAGTTTTACTTCCACAGCGCTCGCAACCTATACAAAATGCCAAATACTATAACACGTCCCGATTGCTTTGGTTACTTAATGAAATTAGGTTCCAAATGGTGTGGTTGGTCCAAACGCTATTGTGTGCTAAAAGATGCTTGTCTGTATTTCTTTCAAGATGCAGGTTCTAAGTCAGCATTGGGTGAGTTGTTGTTGTTGGCTTTAAATGATCGATTCTTTAAATAATGTGCCGGTTTTCAGGTATGGTTTGTTTGCATGGCTACAAAGTGGCTTCTATGCCCACAGGCACTTCTGGTAAAAAGAACTCCTTCGAAATTATACCACCTGAGTCCAAATTAAGACATTATTACTTTTATACGGAATCAGAAATGGAAAAGAAAAGGTAAAACATTCATATATGATTTTATTCCCTCTCCTTCACGTAAAGTTAAAAGATCCGTTGAACCAACACCGCAGTTAAAGTCTCACTAATGACGGAACAAAAAGTTAGAGGTTGAATAAATAATTGCGTAATAATATTTTCTAAATTATTGTTCTATTAAAGTTTCACCAATACATTGAGAATTGATTCCCTGATGTAGGCTGTTTTGTTTATTTTTCCTTTTCTTTGTATCAACTTAAAGATATGCTTTAAACTTTCAAAAATAGCTCAATTTTTGTCTATGCAGAAACATTTCCTGAATCGATCTAAGCTTGTCTGTCCATCCGTCCATCTTGTATTTCTGTGTTCAACCTAAAAGCCGCAATTCTAAAATATTGCACACTGATATGTTTCACCCTAAGGACGAACGCTATGGAAAATGATTCGGATTTGATCACTTTTGCGATGACTTACCATAACTCGTTATATGAATAATAGTTGGCTGTATTCCAGTATAGTGTTTCGCATTGCTTTTTGATAAAACTAAGTTTTAAAATCTTGTCCCAAATATCTTCTCCTTGTTTTATCCACTTTCTAAAAATCGCTTAGTTAGATCAGCTTTTCAAAAAACCACCTACTTATTATTTTCTATCGTAAACAGACTGATATTTATATTATTTAGTTGCATTGTTATCAAACTAAAAATAATAGCGTCATATGTATTTTTTTTTGCTTTTGATATTGACCGAATTCATGTTTAATAACGGCATGCATTGCTTTTCTTATCTAATCTACCTCTGCGAAGATAGAAATAGCGAATAGTTAGTGTTTTTTGTAAAAATATGATCCGATGCCTCATAAACTTTTATACTGCTGCTTAAAATTTGTTCATCAATTGTTATTATTTCTAAAATGTGAGTTTTTTTTGTTATGGCAGTGCATTTACTTTCCCGCCAAATTTATTTCTTCCTAAGTAGCTAGCAAGTCAATGTATGTGAAGCCCGGGCAATATAATAAAAACCGAATATTCATTGTCGAGAGAGCTAAAAATTTTCGTTGCTTACGGTAGTGAAGCTTGCTTCTCCTGAGTACTCTTATGCGGGGTAGAACCCGAAAAATAGGGCTGCGTGGTCCATATTTTGTACACATCATTTTTATATCAAAATACTATTACGGGCCAATTCGCACTGTGAAATATTAAAAGTTAGGCCATTTTCCCATACAAAGGTCTACCTTTCGTCGGAACTGTTGCATAAGAAGGAATTAAAAACCTCGTCCTGACCGAGCCAAAATTTTCACACGAATTTAACATACGGAAATATTATCATTTAGCGATATTTGTTAAGAGAGTTTAAAAATTACAATTATTTTTCCTGTAACCAGTTCATCAGAAAAGGCAGGATGTGGTCTTAGAAATGATCCGATTCAACCAATTTTCAAAACATTTGTCACTGGGCGAAAACAAGTCACAATACCGGATTTTGTCCAAATATTTTCAAAGCTCCAACGCGCAGGTTGAACACAAAAGTATATTTTGGTTCGGACGGACATGCTTAAAACAATCCAGAACGGTTCTGGATCGATCGGTAAACGTGTGGTAAAACGTGTGTCTATCTGAAGCACAGACTTAATACACTCCGTAATACGAACGGTGCGCGGTATAATGGCGCATTATTCCGAAAAAGTTCGCTTTATTGCTACTTTGCATTATACAAAACACATATATACACTATATTTATGTTTACTATGTAATATAATTTTAATCAAGGCGATGACGTTTTGTACACTTATGAAAAAACTCATGATGTCTACGATGAGGATCCTACTTCAAAACCAGTAACACGTAATGTCGTTTGTTGTTTCCGCTGAGGTACGTTCGACGTTAAAGAAGAACGGTACTCGTAACAAAAGCCAATGCATTTTATCTTATGATGTCGCTGGATTCAAAAAGAAGCTTAATTTTTGAATAGACCTACGTGAAAAATTTAATTGATCGACTTTTCATCAAAGTGTCACTGTCAGCGAAAAAACCAAGACATGTTTGAGGAGATTGAGAAAAATGGGGGCACATAGAGCAATAATGTACGAAAAAGGTCGTGGTCTTAGATCCGAACGGCAGCCGAGTCCACAATGACACCACGTAAATTAATGCTTCACATTTTGCGAAAACAAAAGTCAAAAGTCATTAGAAAAGGCGTCGTCTTCCTTCACGGCAATGTCAGTAAATCCTCCAAAATAAATCAATAGGAAAGGCGACATCTTGCCGCTTCCCCTACGGCAATGTCGGGTCAAGCGCAACTGCAGTGACTAATCTGTATTGTGCATCCTTGACCTTAACCCCTATGATCGCCATGTATGGCGCTCTCTGTATAACTCTTTCAATGGAGTAAAAGTGACTTTGAAAGTTGGTTCAGTGTTATGCGCAGAAACCACAAAAGTTTACAGTGACGACAGGAAAACAGCAAAAGCTTATCGATTAGCAAAGCACTTAGTTAGCACATTTTGAAAGCCTCGAACTTTTTCTTTTCTTATTTCTTATTTTCTTTCATATTTTCAGATGGATTTCAGCTCTTGAATATTCGATAGATCGTTGGATTAAATCCGGGTAACTAAGGTTGAAAACTTGGCCGAAATCATTATATAGCACTAAAAAGAAACGACGTAGTTTTAGTTATTTTATGGAGTAGTTAAGTAGTTCGCAATCAAACGATCAATCATTAAAAATATCGCATAAATTTATGCAAACACAGCGAATTATCCATACACACGAACACGCACGCACACCAAGCTACACATATATGATCTCACATTATATTTTTATTTGTAAACATCGCAACACATAGTAATTAACAGTTCAAAATCAACAATTCCTTAGATGAGCAATTAGCACCAAAAAGCATTAAAAGATAAAAACAAACGAACACAAAAACAAAAACAACAACAACAACAGTAACAGCAACAGCTACAAATTGAATTCAATAGATTATAAAAGAAACCTTTTTAGTGAATATTTAAATGAGATTTTTGAAAATATAACAAAAAAAATAAAAATAAAAATTTATGTGCTATTAAAGGCAAACATACATTTACACAAACTTATACACTGAGAAACACATATACAACCAAATGCAAAAGTAACAGCAACAACAACAACAACATAAACAATGAAAACTATGCTATAGTTAGAGAAGAAATAAACCAAACAAATCAAACTGATTTTATTAAACGCTTTGGTTTTGTTTTGATTTTTTTTTTTCTGTTTGGTTTTGTTTTTTAAGAGAAGAAAAGATATATAAAAATGAAATAAAAACAACTTTAAGATTTTTGCTGTTATTTGTTTATAAAGATAAATTCATGTATTCACACACAGTTGAAGACATAATTTTACATACACATATACACGTGTTATAACAAGAAAAAAAAAAACAAAAACCAATAAAATTATTTTTTGATTTTTCGTTTTTTTACTAGAATTAAGACGAAAGTCAAATAAAAAGTAAACGAATTAAATTAAATAAAACAAATAAAAATTAAGAAGAAAAAATTACTTTCGCCTAACGGTCTAACGGTCTAACCTATCGTACGCCCTAACACTTTGCATATCGGGGCCACGTCGAAAATTGCTATAAGGACTTGAGCTATCGTCCAACGTAGCAGAGAAGAAGCGCAACTATCCAGTCTATCCGGCATATCCGGGTTCGATCCCCAATCTCGTAGACCACCGGTAAGCGTTAGTTAGACCATTTAATTCTGATTGACTTGTGGCCAACCTCATGGGACATGTTCGATTGTTAAAGGCACAAAGCGAATACATCGGATGTGCAGTCCGTTCTTTTATCCTCCGACCATCGCCATGTTTTTATGAGTGTAGAGAATGCCACCAGAGTGAAAAAAAGTTAAAAAAAGGCGTGTAATAGCATCGCAAACTCTGCATTGATCTTAAGTTGATGTGATTGGTGGCCCATGTGGACTTTTTTATGGAAAAAAGCACCTGCAGAGAACGGTAGAAAACATTTTATATGTGTGTTTATGAGCAATAAGCAAAGAACATGCAGTGCAAAGTTATTTCCAATCATTGTTCCAAGCATGTAGGTTTGCGAACGGGAGATCGGTAATCACGGGTAATGCACAATTGCATCGACAAACCCACGGGCAGATGCACGTGATTAGGCGCATTCCGAAACTGACGCCCGTCAAAAATATATACATTTCATCGGTGTTTTTGAAATAGTTTTGAAAAAGTTAATATACCTCCAGTGATAGGTACAAAAAAAAATATATATATATAAATATAAAACAAATAAGAAATTTATATTCGATCGTGACCGGATCTTTCATACTCATCATCGTGATTCAAAAAAAAAAAACGGAAAAGAACTAAATTTTTATACTAAATAATAACGCGAGGACTTGGCTATTTTTTTTCAGAGTAGAAGTGTTAGTTAGTTGTACTTTATTGGTAATAAGCAAAAAACACGGAAAGCAAAGGGGTTCGCAGCTTTTATTACATACGCGCGTCCTTTGAAAAGTTTGCGGCATTCGGAAATTCTTTTGCAAGCTTGTAGGCGACATTTTCATTTCTGCGAACGATAAAACGTCGACAGACAACTAGACGGACATGTTCAGATGCATTTCGAATCTGTAAGTGACCAAAAATTTATGGGATTTTTGAAGCTTGCTTTTGTGTGTTATAAAGGCATTGAAAAAAATTAAATTTTGATACACTATAATATTGGATAGGCGTGGTAAATGTTTTCAATAAAATAAGTTTATCTACTGTAGTCTATGCGTAATGCGAAAAAAAAACATTTTGTTATTCCATTCTTGAAAAGCAGAAGTGTTCTCAGTTTACGTGATACTGTAGGCGATTTGTCCAAATTTTTATTATCAGACTGCATGCAAGAACTTCCAATGTTCCTCCCAAACTTGAAGTCGATAGCTTTAGTTTTGCGGCCGGAAAAATGTTTAGAACAGAGATGACGCCGGCGGACAAGTGGACAGACGGACATCCCCCTCGTCTTTGGTTGGCGGGTATAACAATAAAGGAAGAGTAAATTATAAATTATATTCATGGTTACAAATTTCTCAAATATTCAGATACAGATCGACAAGATCGATGGATTTTCGCAATTTTGTCTGTATTCAGTTAAGACAATTGATTGCCTTTGACAGCGTTAATCAAGGGGATTTGATGTAAAGTTAAGGTAATGGCTTTTTTCACCTCTAGACCAACTTTATCCCATTTTCTTCGAATCAATTATTATGTGCAATGATAGATTGCTATCTTTGTAAGGACAATCCGTACCGGGGCTTGGAAAAAACTATTGTACTCATAGTGATACACAACTTGGATATAATTTCCTCAAAAGTAAAAATCCTTTTAGTAACATTTCTTAGGCCTTACTACGGTAGATTCAAATAATTATTTTCGAAATTTGTAAAAAAAAAATATTTTTGAAAACAATTTTTAAAAGTATCAAAATCAAGAGAAGTCATACTCTATTAATAATGCAAGGCCTGCATAAATCGCGTAAATTAAAAGCGAAACAGTAGAAAAACACAACAACAAGAACAGGTAGCAAGTCATTAACATGCTTTTTCTTTTTTTTGGTTTTTTAAGATTTTATTTAAATGATTGAATATCGCTAAACAAAAGCACTCTATACCGCAATATGAGTGTGTCAGTATGTGAATATGATTTAGCAAAAGCTATTGTTGCTGAAGTAGTATTAACACTAGAAACTACTACAACGAGTAGCAAAATCATCATCTATTACTACTGTATACGGTGTACGTACATATGAATATTATCATATACTCGATATATATAAATATACATATATATGTATGTATATGCATACGTATACATAGCCATATATATATATATATTGATATATCTACGTGCATATACAACTACAACTATGTTTAAGGCTTGGTAGGTAAACTTATGCATATTTTTATATTTGGTTGGTTGGCTTGCCGATCGTGTTGTTGTTTTGTTGGCCGGTTGGCTGGCTATTCATAATATCTACATACATATTATAATAAAGATACGCTTTCAACAGTTGCAGTAAAATGGTAGCAGATTCCAGTTTGATGTGCCTACCGACTGGTAAATCATATATATACATATATATATGTATACATACATATACATATATATATATATAAATATACAAGTATGTGTATATATATGTGTAAAAAAAAAAGACAAAAACAGAAACAATAAACAACAAAAGACAAACGGCAACAGCGATTTCTGTCGTTTTGTTAATTTCTGTTGTTGTTTTTGTTCTTTCGGTGAGAGATAAAAATGTTTTATGAAAATAAAACAGCTTTGCACGAATCTTGCACACCTTTCAAATTGCAACGCTTCGTGTAGGTCTTTTAGCAAAATGTCGAGTGCAAAAGCATTTCTACCCTTACCTAGGCCGCTCTGTAATGCTCGACACCTGTGAAGTGTTCACAGCCGTCGTTATGGTATACGTCTTTCTTAATGTCGAATGAAGAACTTTTCGAGTAACATATTCATATTACGATCTAGCTTATTCCATATCGAGACCCGGCCCCAGGAGCATAAAATATGTAATAAGTCTCAGATCAATATCTCTTGCAGTCTCGTATATCACTGTGCAAAATGTATGATATTTTCGATCCTTATTTTTATTATTATTTTTATAATTGTCATTATTGTATTTATATTTCACAAATTTTCTTTGATACGATTATATTAAGCGTATATAATGCAATTTTATAGTTACTTAAAAACGATCGAATATTTAAATTCAATATCAAATCGATTTGCACTCGAGTTTTTATAAATCTTCCGACAATGTTTTTCGCGCTCAAAATCGCTGCCTGTTGTACTTCTTGCCTCAAACCTTTACCCACATAACGTTCTCTTAAGTTCTCATGGAGTTTTTTTTTTTTTTTTTTTCTTAATATTGATGATTGGAATTATCTTTAGCAGTCCATTATCTTTATATACCTTCAGCTAAATTTAAGTACTTTCCAGTCTTTTCTCCATCTAGCTGTGCAGATCGTTGTACTGTTAATTGCGCTTTTCTTGCTAGTCGTAGTATATTGTAGTAGAGCTGTAGTAAGGATTTGTTAGTATTGTATTATTATTATTACTATATTCATTATAGTTATTTATTTCGACAATTAAGTTTAGAAAGACCCGGGTTACTTTGAAGTTCCATTTGCGCAATATGTTTTTAATCTAGTTCTGGTTCTAGCTTTTCCAGCAGGGTCATGTTCGTTTTCTTACTGTTAAAAAATTGAAAACTGCAGACAGCACAGCCAACGAAGAGAGAGGAGCTTAGATTTATTCAAAGCACTTTGCGGGATATTAAACGGTTCTTCTCGTTATACTCGAACGGGTTAACGCGACTACTGCCTTAATAACTTAACCTCATAATGTCCATTCATATAGCTAGTTATTTAAAGCGTGAATTGCTAGTAAGTGCAACAATCGCTGTAAACTAGAAGCCGCACTGCAGCTGAAGTACCAAATCGATTGAAGGTGAACCCACTTGTGGCAAAGTTCGGGTTCTATCGGCGCTTCAGTATTTATAGCTCGACCGTGCATAAATACATAGACGGAAGGAGAGATGTGTTTATGTTAATCCTAGGTATATTGCGGAATTTGAAAATATTTTTCTTCACACTTTTCACAGTATCAGTGAAGCAAGCGAACGCACGAGCAAAATTACGCAAATCGGCTCAAGCCACGCATATTTTCTGCTCATAAATGATATGAATAATCTCGTTTATGGTGATTTTATACAAATTGAACAGAAATGGGAAACGACAGTAGCGTGTTGAATACTAATTACACTAAAATGTTTGATATGCTTAATGCACATTACATCGGTCGTTAAAATTGACATGTTTTTCTTTTCTCTTCTCTAAAGGCCAAAAGCGACATGACTGTGTTAACGAATATTGCGAAAGACT